TCCATTCGCATTCGTACGTGACACATGGTTGTCATATGCATGAAGCTTTCGTGGTTATATTAATGATAGAGTACGAGAGGTTATATCAATTTCGAGACTACGATATTCGTAAAACCGCGAATAATTTCAAGTTTCTTGCTCTTCCAACTACGATTACTGAAATATAAAAAATTGTTACTCATATACTTACCAGAATATAAATTAATTCCTTGAAACTGCGTATTTCACAAGTTTCGAGCAGGCTCGATACGTCCGTAATAGATGAGGAGATGGAATTGTGTATCTCTGAAACTTGTGAAAATTACAAAAGTGAGCGAATTCACAGGTTGAAATTAAAAATATTCTAGTATTCACTCACTTTTGTAATTTTCCTAAGTTTCAGAAATCGATCCCCAGATAACAAAGGTTATACGCTGTATCTACGAGCCAGTGAGATCAAGATCGGTAACTCATGAGCGAATTCTTAATCGCGTAAAGCCTGCTACAGACTGCACGCAGCAAGCGGCAAGCGTCGAGCAGCGAGGATCCAACACTGCTGAATTTTGCGGAAGCGTCAGCAGTGGCGTAGAAAATATCTCTTCGTTGATTGGCTGCTGCTCGACGCTTGCTGCTTGCTGCGTGCAGTCTGTAGCAGGCTTAAGGCGACGTCAGCGCTACAAGTGGCAAAATTTTGATTCACTGGATGGCAAAAATGTCGGCCCACTTTCGGTGACGTGATCCAGACCTAGTTCGGTCTCCTTATACCACCTTAAGGTGCCTTTTCATACGCAGCATGCAGCAGCAGCAAATTAGTCACGTGATCCAAATTCACTAAAGCATATTTGCTGCTCATGGAAAAGGAATAGCTGCAGCAGCACTGTCCGGCTAGATCGCGTGTCTGCTGCTTTGCTGTTCGTTCAATTGAACTTCACAGCGATGAAGCAAAATATGGTGAAATTTATTTTGCAGCATCTAGTAACAATTCTTCAACCAATAGCAGCGAGTTGCTGCGGCAGTATGCTGCGCATGAAATGGTACCTTTATACATTCTCCATGGACGGTACCCTCAGGAGCGTCTGATTTTTAGTGACCCTTTCAGCTCGGCCATACTGACCTTTAGCTTTGTCTCAAAGCTACGGTTAGCAACAAATTGGGTAAGTATTCATTCTTTATTATCTTCTTAACTATATTATTAACTTAACTATATTATTATCTTAACTATATTATCAGCTTAACTATATTATCAACTTAACTCTATCTTAATTTCTATACGCGTTACTTAACCTAACTTACATCTATTTGGGATCATCTGTCCCTCCGGTTTCTTTTTCGCTTACATTTATTATACTGTCCGGTACTGGAATCGGCTTAACCCAGGGTTTTAATTAGGGCTCGCTATTATACGTTTAAACGGATACACGTTTATACGTATAATTAGCTATCCGTTTATAAGAAACGTTTTTCCGAATACACGTGTTTTTACTTAATAAACGTTTAAACGTTTACACGTATATTTAGCACATCCGTTTACTAAAAACGTTTTTTTCAATATTTTCACGTTTTTCTATAAACGTTTATTCCTTTTTTAAGTGTTTTACTAGCACACACAGCGCGCACTAACGCGCGCGCTTTTACGGTCTTTACTTTTTCTCCTGTACATATATATAACAAATAATTATATAAAAAGAAATATAAATTTTTAAATTTATTTTAAAAAATTTATTGTTTGTAGAATGAGACCGGGCAAACTCGTACACATCTTAATGTATAACACATGCCCAATTTTTTTAAAACAAAGAAATAAATGTATGCAAGTTAACAACAGTTTCTAAATATTTAAAAAGTGACTACAAGGGTTTAAGCATTTTAAGTGTGTTAAATAAAACATTTCGTATAAAGTTTATACTTACATCATGGGCCGAGGCATGGTGGAAAGAAAGAGACAGTCCGAGACACGGTGCGGTAACGAGTCGCCGAGGTTATTTTGGTTCCGATTGGCCCTGACAGCCCGCGATCATGCCAGATCGGAGTTGATAAGAACAATTTTGCGCCAAAGTCTTTCCCCCCCTCCCCCCCGTTAATCTCTCGCGCTACAAATCTATATCTATTTATGTGTATATATGGGCCGCGTTTCGCCCGCAGATCGTAATTTATTTTTCCCGGCGTTATTTTATTATCACTTCCTCGCCTGCCCGTCCATCTGCTCAGCGTATCCCGATCTACTCGTCATTTGACAATATGATGCCAAACACGGATGTCTACGATAGCCTGTACTTGTGAGTAGACTGCCAGTCGTGCGCTTTGTATTTTCGAGATATGCGTGCAAGAAAAGAGTGCGCCGTCAATTTCGCCGCTGGTTGCTAATTTTCGTTGTCCCGGTACCCAAGGTATGCCACTCCGGAGAAGTTCTTCGTGGAGCCGGTCGGAACCAAGGTTCTGCTAGTGATCGACAGAGTGAGTCAGCAGATCTACACTCAAGGTAATTAGCGGGCGACTTTGCGTTTGCTTCAAGTCAAGCCAGTCAGCTGACGATAAATCCTCGCTTCCCTTCGCAGTCGGCACCGCTAGTCAGATTCCAACAACTGCCAGCCGTAGGAAAATATGGGGACTGGTGGGGACTATACGTCTCCTGGCGTGCCGTTACCTCATCGTCATCACGGACGCTCAAATGTGCGGGACTATAGCCGGGCACAACATCTACAAGATATCCTCGACGGACGTGATACCTTACACCAGGTCCTCTCTGCATCTGACTGAGAAACAGGTCCAAAGTAACGCCATATACTTGGAGATGGTCAAGTCTGTCTTGAACACACCCTACTTTTACTTCAGCTACACCTATGACCTCAGCCACACCATGCAGAGGCTGCACAACACGATACCTGAATTCTTGCAGGTGAGCATGTCGTTGCGCGTGTACAATTGTCGTTGGTTTTATGCAGCGTCGGCTTTACAGTCAACAATGTATTGTCATTTAGATGCCGCTTCATGACAGGGCAGATCCCAGGTTTGTGTGGAACGCATACCTCCTGCAGGACCTGAGCGCACGACCGGAGCAATACAAATTTTGTTTACCCATTATTCATGGCTGTATCCTTCGACACGTGTCGTATATGTCGTGTAAATTTTTCAAGGACTGTACTTTTCTGCGATGACCTTAACGATCGATTTGCACAGTCGTCTCGCTGAACACGGTGGTCGTGAACGGTGTTGCGTTCAACTGGGGCATTGTATCTAGACGCGGTATACATCGTGCTGGCACGAGATTATTTTCGCGCGGTATAGACGCCACGGGGAACGTGTCCAACTACGTGGAGACGGAGCAGCTAATTGAGATAAACGGCGATCGCAGTTCCTTCGTGCAGACGCGCGGATCCATTCCTCTGTTTTGGTATCAGGCGCCGAACTTGAAGTACAAGCCCAAGCCGCAGATCAGCCCGCACGAGGATCACCAGAGCGCTTGCGCTCGTCACTTCGATGTTCAAATCTTTCATTATGGAAAGCAAATCCTGGTGAATTTGGTAGGCTCCCTTTTCTCCACACTTGTCTGCGATATTTAGATATTAATAAAATTAGGATAACTGTAAGGACATTGTTTAATCAAGTTTTTATTTATATAGGAAAGTCCACTATTATGGGATAGGCTCCTATTAGGAGAGAGCGGGGTTTCTGCTAAATTAACTGACATCATCTGTTGAACCTACCATGAATTTTTTTGCTCTTGGAGTGAAGTCTATTTAGTGGAAAATTGATTGTTAGATTGTGTAATCGTTGCGAAACGAGATTTGTGATTGAATTTGGACGTTGAAAATCTACTATCTCGTATTAGAATCCTATCTCCATAATAAAGCCTTTACTTTAGCCAAGAATTGGCTAAGAACTTTCCTCATTAATAAACATTATCTTATTTGCATTTATAACCATACCATATATTTTATTTGTGAACAGATTGATCAACGTGGACCAGAAGCACTGCTTGAAGATGCATATCGCAATTTAGTCCAAAGAATTAACAATCAAAATATTCGATATGAGGCTTTCGACTTTCATGCGGAATGCAGAAGAATGAGGTGGGACAAACTGAACACTTTAATGGACCGACTAACCCATGATCAAGAACAGATGGGGTATTTCTTGTTGATGAGGGACGGGGCGTTGCTCTCGGCTCAGGACGGTGTTTTCCGTACAAATTGCATCGACTGTTTAGACCGGACGAATGTTGTACAAAGCATGTTGGCGAAGCGAGTTCTCAATGAAGTATTGAGTAGGCTAGAGATACTTAGGAAGGTGGAAGATCATCCTGCGTTTGAAAATCTTTTCAAGCAGGTACTGAGTTTTTTCGGATATACGGAAATTTCATTTTTTAACTTTTACTGTTAATGTTTCAAATTTAATATGGAAGAAAAGCAACAAATATTCTTAATACGTATATGATAAATAATTATAATACTAAACAATAACAAAGTATAGCTTGATGAATAAACTTGATTTTCTAAGTAATAGAAGTAATGCTGTTGAAAAAAAAGTTTACTTATCAGTAGAAATGGCTTTCGGATGGATACCACGTTCGTTTACAGCGTAGTGTTAAAGTTTTCGCAAACATTACAGTTTGCACCATCAGGGGAGGCTGTGATACTGATCTCTTTTACTGATATTTTTAGGTTTGGGCTGATAACGCAGATGTGATAAGCATCCAATACTCAGGTACAGGGGCGTTAAAGACTGACTTCACGCGAACTGGAAAACGCACCAAATTGGGCGCGATGAAGGACGGTTTGAATTCTTTAACGAGATATTATAAGAACAACTTCGCCGATGGATATAGACAGGTAAATAAAGCTTGAAAAACATTCCTCTCTTTTTTTTTCAGCGATGTAACGATATTTTGTGCTATACAGGATTCGCTGGAGCTCTTTTTAGGTCGTTACATCGTCCAGGACGGCGAATGTACTTCCATTCAATGTCCCTTGGAGTCTGAGCGAAACTGGCGTTACACTACATTCCCACTCGTCTTTTTAGTCGCGTCCTCGATGCTGGTCGCTCACGTAATCTTACCATCGCGATACACAACGGAAATATTACTCTATATACTATTTTGGGGCGCCATGGTGGCCGGCACCTTTGCCACCATTATCCACCACGGCAAGCAATACGTCGACAGGCCAAAATTACTTTAGAGTTAATTAATGATTTTATGTGGAATTTTAAATTATATGTATATATATATATATACATATATATATATTGTATAATATGGATAATCGATAGGGTGCGATAAGCAATTGTAGATTTATTAGTTTTGCACAGTTATCAACATCGGTTGGTACCCTCGATTCCTACGTCACGACACAAAGATAGATTTCATCGTGTAATTAATCAATCAACGTCTATTTCTATGAAATTAATATATTAATTTCCGGCGGTGTTCGCATTTTACAGTTACGCTGTTTACAAATAATTGTATCTGTCAAATGCATTTTTGTTTGGGTACAAGGTTTATACAGGAGCATGGTGTCCATTATCGTTACGGTAAATTTTGCACTTTCCGCATAATAGATAGTGGAGTCTATTCTTGAACGACATTCGTTCCTTAAAATTTGCTTGACGTTTTGCGATAAATTCTTCTGACGTATTATAAAGGGTCAGGTCTTTAATCTTCGGCAGGGTAAGTGGGGCGGTCGTAAACGGGGTTAATTGACAGATCGTGCTTGGTACTCACCGTCCATAAATAATCTGAGATGAGTGTGAGAACGGTTTTCACAGTTCGAGATTGAAAGAATTCATGGAATCTTGTTAGTTCTTTTATTAGCCGGCGTTGAATTTTCTCGTACAAGTCTGAAGTAATTATTTTCCTCATGGTGGTTGGTTTTTTTTTAAAATAAATATTCTGTCTTTAACATACCAAACTCTTATGGTTATTTATAGCGTAATAAATATTTTTTTACTGAATCTTTCGTAGTTAAAAGTAAAATTTTATATTGGCATTTAAATATAATTAAATAGAATTGAAATTAAAAGATTTGTAATTTTTTAAAATAACAGTAATATTTATATTACTGGTAGAAGTTTACTGGTAATATTTATATTAATGGTAGAATTTTATTTATTTTATTTTTCAAATTAAATCAACTTGGAAATAATTCCAAATAAATTTAATTGTAAATCTTTATATATACTTTTTTTTATATTGAATTTTTAATTCTGTTTTCGAACAGAAATTCCATTTATAGATTGATTTTAATAAAAGTTTATAAATTTTTTTTACACGAATTAAATAGATTTTTTAATAAATATCTTAATGGGGTTAAAATACCATTTATAATGAGAGTTACAGAATACCATTTACAATCGAAGTCAGTCGAAATAAAAATAGATTTCAAAAGAGACGTTCCGTGACGAAAGCTAACTCTTTATTCGTCTACTTTTTCCCCCGAATGTAGGAAGAAACGCTGATTATTGAGGAATTGGGAAGTGTTTGGAAACAATCTAGATAAATAAGATCGATTTGTATAAACGAACCGAGTGCATCGCTGGTTACTAGGGGCGTTACTGATTCGCAAAGTGCTTAAAGTAGGATTAACACTGTAAATCAAGTCACGGTGTGTGGAGAACGTTCGAATTTCCGTAGGCATGGAACCTTGAGCCAAAGTATACATACCGTTTTTAGGATTTACATACATGTATATTGTATTTTATCGTACATACATCCGCGCAACGCGGTCACAAATTATGTCTGTCTATTTAAATGTAGACGAGAAATATGTCAGGCCGAGAGAATATTTTTTAATATTTCAAAGACGTATCTCATTGTCTGGAGAGGAAAAAAAACAAGAGGAAGAACTTGTGTAGACGACGGAGCCTCTTCGTCGAATGTAACGTTCATGATTTATCCTTCTTGCGGATGCTCGGATTGTAACGTGATACTGATTACAAATAGATGAATCGTACGATCAACTGCTGTGCTAAAGAATGTGCCTCACTCCTATCTATCCATATCTTATCAGTAATCACGGATTTGAACTCGGCCAAAAACGATCACAGCCGCTTATTTTATCGGCTAATCACTACGATTTTTGTTTTTGTATCTTTTTACTTCAGGGGGTCAATTTTGTATCTTACAATATAGTGAAAATGCTAAAAGTGAGCGGCTTTCCCTTGGGAACATTTACTTTAAATGAAATTAAAGTTTTCAAAAGTAATCTTGCAAATCTAAGAGTTTTTAACTTCTAACTTAAAGAAGTTAAAAGTTTATTTAAGAAATTTTAGAGTAACTTTGGACACTTAAAGTCATTTTTAGATAGCCAAGCCTGTCGAAGTTCCCGCTAGAGGGCCGCGCGGCAAAGTACTTTCTCGTAAGAAGAAGACCACACGCGGTATTATAAATCATATCACATATTTTTTACAATTCTTAAAGTTTTATTTTAAATTCTTAAAGTAAGGTTTAAGTTTACCTTAAATAACAGTGTCCAAATTTACTTTTCATATTTCTTCTTTTTCTAAAGTACAATTTTAAGATTTTCTAAGGTATATTTTCCCAAGGGCTGTCTTTCTAAGGGGATGGGGCTAGAAAGAGACAAAGCTATTGACTTTTAGCATTTTCACTATAGTGTAAGATACAGAATCGACACCCTGCATCTTATCCGATGCTGCGTCTTCAACTTGTTAACGTTTTAGGCCTTTTAGCGTTCGATACTTTGTTTCATAATCTTGATTCAGAATTTCGCTGTCTCACGATCGACGGGATCCTGATTGTTTCGGATCGTACGCGAAATAGCGATAGGAGAGCGGGATGCGTTTCAAACGTAACGTTTCTATTTGGCGCAACCGCTCGTAATCCGTGCTCGTAACACTCGCAATTCGGCCGACGGCAATTCGGCCCGCAAAATGTACGCCCCGTCGTTTATCACACCGCTATTCTTCCGTCCTGTTTCATCCCCAACCCCTGTGGTCCACTCTCTCTCTCTCTCTCTCTTTTTTTCCATAAATCCGCGCTATAATTTCGGGTTTACAGTAATACGGGTCCCCGCGCGCGTGCTCGGCGCGAAGGAAGATGTAATCGTTTATTATTTCGGCGACGACGAAAATCCGCGAGAGTGCAATTTTTGCACGGCTGCAAAAAGGTTGCGCCAAGTCGGAGAGGGAAAGGGTCGGTGGAAGAAGAGTTACGCGGGTCATTTACCGTTTGTATTAAAGTAGATCGGTCGGTCGCGGGCGCCTTTGTCTCGTGGCCGCGAAGCGGGCTCTTTTGCGGCTTGCATTTTAGATGCACATAATTCGACCATTGCGCGGCAATTGTGTGGAATTATGATTGCGTATCTAGAGACACAATTATGCGGAGTGCCACGTGCGCGATATTCGCAGCGTTGTAATTTATTTTTAGCGGAACATCGTTTTTCAGAGAAACCTACGGTTCAGAGAATGAACGGGACCAATTAGCAGCAAATTCTGACACTATTGTTATCACTTTTACGTGTACATTATGTTCCGCCAACTTCGTCTTCCTTGACTATTTTATACAAGGTGGACTACAAAATTATCCTATTTAAATTGCGGATTTTATCGGAAACCTCGAGGGTCCTTTCTTGTTATTTTTTTAATGATTATATAATATGAAACGGTTAAGGGCGAATAAATGGACAAACGTGGATGTTAAAATGAAAAATTGTATTAATCTCAGTTAATATTTTTACGCTTTGAAACTTTGACTTTCTGTTTTTCCTACCTCTTTATTCTATTGTGTGATTTATATTATTTATTACATTTTTAATAATTTAGACTACTTTTTTAATCAATGACACAATGACGTATTTGCGTACTCAGCTTTTATTCTCTATCTATATTTGTCTTGACTATATTATTTCATTAAATTTCCTTACTTTTAAAATATATATTTTTTATTCAATACACAGTTGATAAAGTGTACTCAGTGTAGATCAAAATGTTCTATTTAGAAGTCAATGAATTATTATCAAAATTTTTTATTTTGACATTCACGTGCAGTCGTTTATCGACCCTTGACTATTCCATATTGTTTGTTACAAAAAAATGATGCATCTTTTACGTTTCATTGTTGAAACCCTTTCCAAATGTATTGGAAACTTTCGGGAGGAATCAATATTCTGTCAATTATATCGAAATTCTGAAAACGCGATTGTAACTTCTGGAAGGCGTACAACGGAAACAGAACTAATAAAAGGTTTTTGTCTGCCGTACTCTCTGTATCAAGATACTAAACAGGCTTCGCGGAGAAACATCCTATCCGCTGATTGGAAACGCTGAAAGGAAATTGTGCCGATTTTAAATCACTGACCGGAACGGGGCGCTTTTATATGAGGACTTTAGCGAAATGACATGACACTTTTATGTTTTCTACATCCTCTAGCAAATGCGAGCGCTCATTAGGCCCAATTGTTTCCCGAGACCATTTTTATTTTCTAGAATAATGTTTGTGAGAAAAAAAGAAGTCTAGATATTTATATATTCAGCCTAGCGAGAACAGTAAAGCCTGTGTCACATTACGTATTGCGGATCGCGGATCGCGGATCGCAATTCAACCAATCGGGTCCGAGGCTGTCTCGTCTGATTGGCTGAAATGTGATCCGCGATCCGCAGTCTTAGGCCGTGTTCCGTTTCACGCATGATACGCATAATGCATCATTTATCTTTCTTTAACATTTGCCGAATAACAAGGATAAACGATGCATCATGCGCATCATGCGTGAAACGGAACGCACCCTTAATCCAATCCGTAGTGTGACACGGGCTTAAGGTCGAATCAACGTCGAATCGACGTCAATGGAAACCGCGCTCCAACCGTCAGTTTTCGAAAAAGTTTTGGAGCTTTATGTTTTGTATAAAATTATTACGTTCAAAATACGTTCTGAATACTTTTAACGTTTTATGGGAGAGAACTGCCAAATTAACTTATTTAATACAAAAACTAAAGTTCCGAAACTTTTAATTATTTTCATAAACTGACAGTTGGGACGATTTCGACTCCATTGACGTCGATTCGACGTTAGTGCTCTCACTGGAGAGTTAATCGGATAGTTTTTATTAAGAATCGATCATTGATTAATTAATTGCATTATAATTAACAGTATATAACTTTTTAGTGTTCTCGTTTTCTCTGCACGTAATGCCGTGCTTTTTACGCACTTGTTGAATTTTACAAATATTATATCTCATTAGCTACACTTACTTTGAGTTTCATTATTTGAATTAATTCAAATTAGTAACGTGTCGGAGCGTTAAAAAAAACTAGAAAACCAGAAACATGTGTGAACGCTTTTTCTAATTTCAATATACTACCGCGATTAACAGCATTGAAGCAGATTATGAAGATAACGACGCGAACGATTGCGAACGCCATCATAATTTTCCAATCTTTTGTTCATAAGCGAATTGCCGCGACACGTCGCATAATCGGGGAATATATTGGGCGCTCGAAAAATACTAATATGAGACTTATAGAATTAATGGTGCGAAAGGTGGATCCTACAAAGACAGATTACGAACAAAATAAATATGAAAACAAATACACATTTTTTGAAAGGTTAATATTCTGAAATTGCGCATTTCTATAAACAAATTAAATTGCGATGAAATCAATTTTTCGATTTCAACTTTATGCGCATTTAATCTCAATTAGTCACATTTTCCATATATTTATCTTAATTGCTTTTCGCTTACGTTTCGTTATGCGCACGTTCACGCACAATTGTCGGAAGCGCCCTGACTTTTTTTTCTAGTAATTGTTCTAGTGACGCGATGTTTCGATCAGAACACGAAGAAAAGACTGATTGCATAATTTCGAAAGTATTCAAGTAAAAGGGCACGAATCCAGATGCTTGCAGTTAAGTCTATCAAAATGTGCTGACTATAAAATATCGAGATAACCAGAAATTCAATTGTGACAGAATTTTATATTGGCACGGCCAAAATGCATATCTGTATACTTTATTGTTGGCGCAATCAAAACATTTTTCTCAG